TCTCTCTCTCTCTCTCTCTCTCTCTCTCTCTCTCTCACCCCATCTCTCTTTTTCTCTCTGTGTGTTATTACATAACAAAAGATATAAACCGACATAATGTACTTTAAACGACATTATAAAGAGTGTAAAACGACACAGTGCATGTTAAACGACATCGCAAAGGATTAAAATTATACAGTATGTTAAACGATATCATAATGGATTAAAACGACACAATGTATGTTAAACGATATCATAATGGATTAAAACGACACAATATATGTTAATCGACACCAAAAAGGATTAAAACGACACAATGTATGTTAAACGACACCATAATGGATTAAAACGACACAATATATGTTAATCCACACCAAAAACAATTAAAACAGCACAATGTATGTAAACGACACCATAATGGATTTGAACGACACAATATATGTTAATCGATACCAAAAAAAGATTAAAACGACACAATATATGTTAATAGACACCAGACAGGATTAAAACGACACAATATATGTTAATCCACACCAAAAACAATTAAAACAGCACAATGTATGTAAACGACACCATAATGGATTTGAACGACACAATATATGTTAATCGATACCAAAAAAAAGATTAAAACGACACAATGTATGTTAAACGACACCATAATGAATTAAAACGACACAATATATGTTAAACGACACTATAATGAATTAAAACGACACAATATATGTTAATCGACACCAAAAAGGATTAAAACGACACAATATATGTTAATCGTCACAAAAGGGATTAAAACGACACAATATATGTTAATCGACAACAAAAAGGATTAAAACAACACAATATATGTCAATCGACACCAAAAAGGATTAAAACGACACAATATATGTTAATCGACACCAAAAAGGATTAAAACGACACAATATATGTTAATCGACAACAAAAAGGATTAAAACGACACAATATAACCGAGAGCTGACCATTCAGAGAGCAATGAAAAACTACTTAACGTAAAATTAGCCAAAAAAAAAAAAAAAACAGCAACAACAACAAATGCTGCAGCTGGTTCTGCAATACATGTAAAGGATTTGCAACTAACTAATCGACATCACAAATAATGTAAAGCCACATAATGTATGCTAAAAGAGCCTAAACAAAATAAAGAGGAATGTAAAGCCACATAATGTATGTTAAACGACCTAAAAAATAAAGAGGAATGTAAAGCCACATAATGTATGCTAAACGACCTAAAAAATAAATAGGAATGTAAAGCCACATAATGTATGCTAAACGACCTAAAAAATAAAGAGGAATGTAAAGCCACATAATGTATGCTAAACGACCTAAAAAATAAAGAGGAATGTAAAGCCTCATAATGTATGCTAAACGACCTAAAAAATAAAGAGGAATATAAAGCCACATAATGTATGCTAAACGACCTAAAAAATAAAGAGGAATGTAAAGCCACATAATGTATGCTATGCTAAAAAATAAACGGAATGTAAAGCCTAAAAAAAAAAAATAAAGAGGAATGTAAAGCCACATAATGTATGCTAAACGACCTAAAAAAAATAAAGAGGAATGTAAAGACACATAATGTATGCTAAACGACCTAAAAAATAAAGAGGAATGTAAAGCCACATAATGTATGCTAAACGACCTAAAAAATAAAGAGGAATGTAAAGTGGATGACCCCGCTTAGCATGGTCTCTACGATCACAGCAAGTCGAGCATAAACGACCACACGAGATACTTGGGGCTGGAAAGGTAAACGAGGGTAAGTCCAAGGTTGACTTTGTAGTCAGCTGTGTACCAGAATTGGAAGAAGACAGTGGTGATGTCGTCAATGTAGTTTAAATGAAGTGTAGTCAACATTGAGTAAATGATTATTGTGGCATAGTTGTGAAGTAAACAGCGATGATTGTGGATGAGTAATTGTGATGTAATAGAATAAATAAACTTTCAGAATGTATACTAGAATTCAAGCAGCGTTCCAGTGTTGTCAATTGTTGAAAGCTGCATTCTTCTTCTTCTTCTTCTTCTTCTTCTTCTTCTTCACTTCCTCTTTTACCGCTGCATTTGATCCAGAAAAATCGAGCTAAATTAAAAGTGATCCATCTTTCTCACATAAAGCCATACAATATCACCTTTATCCGCAGAGACGTCAAACAACACAATACCATAACTCTGCCCTACCTGTACCGACCACATATGGCGGACCTTAATGTGCTCAAGAAATATCAAGCCGGCAAGGCCCCGACCCACCAAAGAAACCCACTCATCAGAAGCTGGGCCGGGGTTGCAGCAGAGAAACCAGACAAGCCAGCTGGATCCTTGTTTAGAAAAGCGGCCACCTTGCAGAGGGTCAATGGGCACAGCAAGTCGGACCTCAAGCACAAGACGTTGTCCAAGAGATGGCCTAGATCTAACGAAGACGAAGACGCTGACATTTTGGAGGTTGGTCGAGAATTTCCGATTTTTGTTCCTGGGGGATTTCTGTTTGTTGGTCGGAAAATGTTGTTTGTAAGGGATTTGCGTTTACTGGGGATTTCCGTTTGTTGGGAATCTCCGTTTGATGATTTGTGTGCACAGCCTTTTTCAACGAATATATATTAAAAGAAGAGCGTGTTTTGTGTATTACCTCGTTAAATTTGTGTTTAACAGTTGCTGTTTTATGCATAGTCGTTACGTCGACATGAGAGCAGGGTGGCTTTGTATAACTTCACGCAGCTGCGATTCACGGCCAGTTTCAGCAGTAAGGCCGAACAAGTCTACGGAAATTCCCGTTTTGTTAGGCTGATCTATGGTCGCCGGTCGGTGCTCACTACTGACTGACTTTCTGCCCCACTAGGACATCACACAAGCGATAAACACCAGATGACACAAAGTGCCACCATGTGGATGAGGATCGCCGTGGAGACAATTGGCCATATTTATGGCCTGCCTATATTGCGGCCCCTGGCAAAAGCCAGAGTGGGGATTCAAATATCAAAAAAATTTGGTCCTAAAAAGGACGAAATATTTTATTTTTTTTTGGAGTAAATTTATACACACATTAAACTAGGGGTTAATTAACTTGCAGCATATTTTAAAACACGGGTACACTATCGTCTGGTAAGACAGAAAGGTGCCAACAACTGTGATCGTTTTAACAAATCCTGTTCCACATCTTTTCCATTTCCAACTCTAGATTGACATAGGAGAACCTGATACAGAAGATGAAGGATATGGATTTACCATCAGGGGCGGAGCCGAAGCAGGAGTGGGCGTGTACGTGTCTTCAGTTGACAATGGAAGCCCCGCCCAAAAGCAAGGTCTCTCCGCTGGCGATCTTATCCTAGAGGCAAACAACATTTCCTTCAACAATATTCCACACGAGGAAGCGGCGAGGGTAGGTGTCAAGTGTGGGGTAGGTTTCCATTAATCTCCCCAAAAAGAGTAGGTCACGTTTCATTCACAAGTTTGTTGGGCTGGTGGACTCAGCTGAAGGTTACTGTTGTGTACCGCGCTGTTTTTCCCTTTCTGTGATGTCTTCCATTTTTATTCAGAGAAAGAGAATGGCTGTGGCACAGGTTGCAGCACTCTCTATGGGAGTTAGACCCAGTTTGTCCATGTTTGTGGAGTGTTTAAAGCGCTGGCGTGCTGACATATGCAACACGCGATATCAACGGCATCACGAAACACCCCCGTAACCTTGAGGCAAGGTGAAAGGTTCATTAACTACCAATCAAAAGTGAGCTAGTGTGTATATGGGCGGGGCGTCGGAGGGGGTGGGGGAAGAGAGAGAGAGATCAACGTTACTTTTACCTTAAGTGTGAAGAGGAAGAGGGGGGGGGGGGGATTCGACAGTTTACATCCTAATCATCATCACGTGTCATTCCGATAAGCAAAGAAGGTCGTAGTTCACCATAAGCTAATTACATCAGTATCATACTGTGTCCTTTTACGTCCCATAGGATTCAGTCTAACTCTCCATTTCTATCCTGTGCAACCTTCTAGAAAACAAGTCCAGCGCCTTAGGCCTCTCTCGACGACAACTTTCGTTTTAGGGTTTCTTCCTTTCATGAATCCATTTCTTCACATTTCAGAGCTCGTTTGATGAATCCCTGTGTGTCTCCACCCATGATGTCCCAACCATTGCACCCTTTATCATTCATATATTCCGAGATTAGTTCTGAGCCACTGTCTCGCATATGCCATGCGATCAAGTCCTAATGGTTACTATTTTTATTTTGGTATTTTGTTATTTTGTGTGTGTGTGTGCCTTCCACTTGTTCTTTTCCCATCCAGTGTGTGTGTGGGTCGAATCATAATTTTTGAAGCCTTTTTGAAGACGGTGGCCTACCTTTGCTTTATATATGTGTGTGTGTGTGTGTATGTGTGTGTATGTGTGAGTATAGCGGGTGTTTTTCTGTTTGCGAGTGTGTGTGTTATTCAGCACGTATAATTATCACAATTATTTATCTTTTCTATTATGTAATTCGGTCTAATGCTGACTATATTACCCATCCAGTGCCGATTGGTCTGTAAAAATATGGGACACTCTTCCCATATGCCAGATGCGCCTAAGGCGTGAAAAGGGATCTTTATTTTACTTTTTTTTACTATTATGTAATTGAATGGCTGGGGTATACTGAAAGAATATCAGATGACAGGGAAGTAAAAACTGTATACACCAGGGAGCTGAATGATCATAGACCATGAGGAAGACGATGAAGAGATAATATCCAGACATACCTACAAACACCTGTTGTCACCAACTGGAAAAAGAAGACCAAACAGAGATGAATGGGGGCGGGTGATATCTGCATCAATGAACCTCAAGGGTTCAGATTTCTGAAGAAAAAGAGTTTGTAATTAAACAAGGCTTACGACCTTTGATTCCCCAACTCCTGAAATGTATTTTAAAAAAAAAATTGCAAAAAAAAAAAAAAAAAAAAAAAAGGCTATGGGTCCCCCCTTAACCTTTCTCTTTTGTTTCCGGCGCCCATGTTCCGGTGATACTGTCTCGCATGCGTCCCTTCCAGATCATCAAAGCGGCCACCAGACTTCGTGTGACGGTGTCACGAGTTGGTCGGATTCCCAGCAGCCACTCCGTCCACGAAGCTTATCGGTGGACAGACCCAAGGGGGCGGCCCGTGTCACCGCCTCTTGACAGGGGCGGTAGCGCCCCAGGAGACGACGACGAGAGAAGGAGAAGCGGCAGCCAGATGTTGAAAGCAAGTGATGAGCGGAAGGTAAGTGAATGTTGTTACTGTGATGAGAGGAAGGTAAGTGGATGTTGTTGCTGTGATGGGCGGAAAGTAAGTGGATGTTGTTACTGTGATGAGTGAAAGGTAAGTAGATGTTGTTGCTGTGATGAGGGGAAGGTAAGTGGATGTTGTTACCGTGATTAGCGGAAGGTAAGTGGATGTTGTTACTGTGATGAGTGAAAGGTAAGTAGATGTTGTTGCTGTGATGAGGGGAAGGTAAATGGATGTTGTTAGTGTGATGAGTGAAAGGTAAGTAGATGTTGTTGCTGTGATGAGGGGAAGGTAAGTGGATGTTGTTGCTGTGATGAGCGGAAGGTAAGTGGATGTTGTTGCTGTGATGAGAGGAAGGTAAGTGGATGTTGTTGCTGTGATGAAAGGAAGGTAAGTGGATGTTGTTACTGTGATGAGGGAAAGGTAAGGGGATGTTGTTGCCGAGATGAGTGAAAGGTAAGTGGATGTTGTTACCGTGATGAGGGGAAGGTAAGTGTAAGTTGTTACTGTGATGAGCAGAAGGTAAGTGGATGGTGTTGCTGTGATGAGGGGAAGGTAAGTGGATGTTGTTACTGTGATGAGCGGAAGGTAAGTGGATGTTGTTGCCGTGATGAGTGAAAGGTAAGTGGATGTTGCTACTGTGATGAACGGAAGGTAAGTGGAAGTTGTTACTGTGATGAACGGAAGGTAAGTGGAAGTTGTTACTGTGATGAGCGGAAGGTAAGTGGAAGTTGTTACTGTGATAAACGGAAGGTAAGTGGAAGTTGTTACTGTGATGAGCGGAAGGTAAGTAGAAGTTGTTACTGTGATGAGCGGAAGGTAAGTGGAAGTTGTTACTGTGATGAGCGGAAGGTAAGTGGATGTTGTTGCTGTGATGAGCGGAAGGTAAGTGGATGTTGTTACCGTGATGAGGGGAAGGTAAGTGGATGTTGTTACAGTGATGAGGGGAAGGTAAGCGGATGTTGTTACCGTGATGAGGGGAAGGTAAGCGGATGTTGTTGCTATGATGAGGGGAAGGTAAGCGGATGTTGTTGCTATGATGAGCGGAAGGTAAGTGGATGTTGTTGCTGTGATGAGCGGAAGGTAAGTGGATGTTGTTACTGTGATGAGCGGAAGGTAAGTGGATGTTGTTGCTGTGATGAGCGGAAGGTAAGTGGAAGTTGTTACTGTGATGAGGGGAAGGTAAGTGGATGTTGTGGCCGTGATGAGTGAAAGGTAAGTGGATGTTGTGGCCGTGATGAGTGAAAGGTAAGTAGATGTTGTTACAGTGATGAGGGGAAGGTGAGTGGATGTTGTTACCGTGATTAGCGGAAGGTAAGTGGATGTTGTTACCGTGATTAGCGGAAGGTAAGTGGATGTTGTTACTGTGATGAGCGGAAGGTAAGCGGATGTTGTTGCTGTGATAAGCGGAAGGTAATCGGATGTTGTTGTGATGAGCTAAAGTAATACTCTCTGACTTCAAAAGACACACACTTAATTAGTTGCCTATTACGGTGGGTCTATTCTCTGCTTCCAACCACCAAAACAGGAACACACAGCCCACATGGGCAGAACTTACGATCAAATTATGTACAAAGCAATCTCCCCTCTCCCCTTTTGGAGGGGTTGTTTCCACACCCCCTCCCCCTTTTCTTAAAAGGCTTGGGGACATTAGTGTGAGAATAATACATGGGTCCTCATCCTGTCATATCCCGAAGGGCAACACTGGATGCACTGTAGTCAATCTTCATTATGTAGACGGCACAACAACAACACAAACACCAATAACAACAGAAAAGGGAAGAACATGGTCAGTTCCACAACAGTCTCCACACGGACCACGCATATACACACTAGCTCACTTCTTTTTTGTCGACCTTCAGTCACCCGACCTTAACACACTGCTGCAGGGGTGTTCGGCAATGGCGTTGATATAGCGTGTTGTATATTTAAGCACGCCAACGCTTGTAACACTACAAAACATTTAGAAACTGGGTCTAACACACAAACCCCCTAGAGAGTACAGCAACCTATGTCACAGGTATTCTCTTTCTCTGAAGAAAAACGTAAACGTAAGACAAGCCAGAAAGGAAACATCATAGCGGCAACCCGTAACCCCCTGGACAGCAGAGCAGTCTAATAAATGTATCAATGGAACGTGACCTAGTTTCTCTGGGAACTCTCCTAGAACTAACTAATAAAATATATCGCGACCTCCTCTTAAAGAGCATGTCTTTGCCTTTCAGATCAACATAGTGCTTCAGAAAGGACAAGGCCTTGGAATACTAATCAGAGGCGGGAAAGA